ACAGAGCATGGTGAAAGCTTGACCCAAGACAGAGATCCACCCAGGCCAGACATTAGGCACCAAGGATACATCCAGAAAAAAATACTTTAAAGTAACTTATAATTTATCAGATATATCTAATAATGCTAAAAAAATATATTGACAAGCATTTGGCAGATCAGTTTGAAAACCTGAAAAAGAGTATCAGGGTTTTTTTGTTTGTTTGTTTGTTTGTTTTTAGAGTTATTTTTGTTATAGAGCGTGTGCGCTCGCCAGACCGACAGATACAGAGAGACAGAGAGCGAGAAATCACCCCCCCAGGGGGGATGGCCATGCCGCAATCCCTTCTCCATTTTCCACTCGGGATCTTGGGCATGCATGCACACATGCTCAGCGTGAGTTTTAAGCCACCGGGTCCGGGACGCGAACCACGGTCGACTACATGGGAGTTCAGCGACATAGCCATTATGCTAACTGCTGGTCCCAAGAATATCAGTTTTAATAATGTAGAATTAAATTATTAAAAACTAAACAATTTAATAAATAAGTAATGTATAAGAAAATTAAGGAAGGTAACACTTATCTCAATAGTAAATTGTATTTTCATAATCAGTATAATGCAAATGAAAAACTGATTAGTGGTTTAAACAGTTATATGGGAACTTGAAGTGGATATGGGTAATACAAGAGACCTAACTCATTACTTTTTTTAACATAGGAATTCCATAAATAATGTCTAATATTACAAAATCAAGTAGCAATATGAGTATTTTATTTAAAAAATGAAGATAGGGGCCAGGAGGTGGTGTGGAGGTTAGGGCGCTGTATTGCCACATGGCCAACCATGGTTCGAGGTCAGGTGGCTTAAAAATCACTCTGGATGTGTGTGCAGATGTGCCCAAAATCTCACTTTCCCTCTCATTGTCTCTCTCTGTCTTTTTCTTTCTTTCTTTTCTTTTTTTTTTTTAGAGGTTTTTGCTATAGGGCACATGCGCTTGCCAGACAGAGAGAGACAGAAAGACACAAAGCGAGAAATCACCCCTCGGGGGGGATGGCCACGCCGCAATCCCTTCTCCATTCTCCTCTTGGGATCTTGGGCACGCACGCACATGCACCCGGCATGAATTTAAGCCACTGGGTCCGGGACTCAAACCGCGGTCGACTATGTGGGAGTCCAGCGACATAGCCATTACGCTAACTGCTGATGCCTCTCTCTGTCTTTTTCTGTCAAGGGCATGCACCCTGTAGCAAAAACCTTAAAAAAAAAAAGTAACTATCAGGAGAGTTGAAAGTGTGTGCCACTAAGGATTAGATTTGGTGATGGGAGAGGGGTAGAGCCTGAACACTACTCTTTTTCATTAGGAAGAATTGAAAGTATTGGAATTAAATTGGTTGTTTACTTTGATAAGAACATTCGATCAGTAATAAAAGTAAAGTTACACGTGTCCATGATTAAGAAAAAAAATTTCTACAGTATAGAGGGATATAAGTGAACAGTAACTAATCTAATCTGTTTCTCAGTATCTCATTCCAATAGTACCATTCCTGGGACTATTCTCCAGAAGTAGCTACTTTTAATAGTTTCTAATTTTAATTGTTCTAAGGTTATTACATTCAGGACTTGAAGTACTTTATGTCTTTTGGTAAGGTATAAAATTATCTGGACCTGCCTTTGCCCAGTTAGCCAAAACATGGCTGCCTCAAAGTGCACTGTAGACATGCAGGTTAATAGCGTACTTTGAGAGTAATGTACAATTGGCCTATTACTGTGGTTGGTCTTTCATCCCTGCGCCACTACCTACAGCCAAGGAAGCAGCCCTGACCTAGTTGGGTGAGGCAAAGGGTTATCCTGCCAGTGGGATCGTGGCATTTCTGGCAAGAGATTTCTCTTCTAACTGTTAGAGTTGGTGCCATGGCAGAGTTTCCTGACTCAGGGACTAAGTGTTGAGCCCTAGTCCAGCTGGTTAGATTATTTGTTGATTTTGATTATCTGCACCAATAAGCTTTTTTGCTGGCACATATAATCAGAAACAGGCAGTAATTTTCCATCTTCCTAACAAAAATGCTTCAAGTACTGTGAAATTATAACAGATAAAGTTTTATTCAGTTTTCATCAGAACACTGCTTTATAGAGCATGGGAAGTTTTGTTTAAATTAATTAAGAACTCTTTAGGGGTGGTCACAAATCCTTTAGTAGGTCGGGTTTCTTTTCCTACTTACCACTTTCTATTCTTAAGAGGAGGAAAAATCACAACAGTGATACTAGGGTATCTTTCACTCAGTTTTTACTACTGCTAGAGGCTCTGCTAAGTACTTGTCGCATTTACTCTTCACAACTCTTAGGAGCTTGCCACGTTATCACTCCCCCTTTTTTTTTTTTTTTAAGGTTTTTGCCACAGGGCATGTGTGCTACCTGGAGAGAGACAGAGAGAAGGAAAGTGAGAAATCACTCCCCAAGGGGACTGTCCATGCTGCATCCCTTGTCCTCCATTCTTCTCTAGGGATTTTGGGCACACAGGCATGATTTTTCAAGTTACCTGGTCTGGGGCTCAAGCCACATTTGGCCAAGTGGGAATCTAGTGCCTTAACCGCCACGCCACCTGCTGGCTCCTGTCGTTCCCAATTTAGATGGAAGAAACTGTATTATAGTGGAGGGACTTGTCCAAGTCGGAGGACAGTCAAGTGCTAGACCTGTGCCTGGAACCCTGATTTGTGTTGACCATTAAACTTAAATTCTTTACCTCTTTGTTTGACTTTCAGTGCAGCCTGTAACATTTTATTACTTGGAAATAAGAAAGCAGCTGATTTATACTTAACACTTAATTATGAATGTAATGTACATATGTTGTTATTGTTTCACAGTGTTTATAAAAATTGTTGTATCTTTTCAACAAAGTTTGCAATTTCATGTTTTCTATTTCTGTCATCTTTGTATCCTCTCAACTCGAAATTCTGGGTTAATCTTTGGTCTCCTGATACTTCTTTTATTTCCATAAAATTGCCATGTTCTCTTTATGTTTCTGTTTTAAATCTTTCTACTCTTTTAAGTCTGGAATATTGCAACTACTTTTCATGATCTCCCTTCTGCCATTCTTTGCACTATAGATTGATCATACATATTAGTCCAGTTTTTTTAAGTTCAGTTTCTCAGATACTGCATACCTGTTTTAGCCAATACTTTCTCTCTATTTATGTGCAAGAAAAATACAGCTTTGTTAATCTACAATTCAGAACCTTTCATGGTATGGTCTAATCTATGGCTTCATGAGTTTATGTGCCCTTACCTTTTTCCCCACTGTTCTTGCTCATAATTGCTGTATCCCTTATCTTAACAATGAAACATGGATTTTTCTCTACAAATCATTTGACTTTTTTTTTATATGCTTTGTATTTAGATAATCCTTTTGCATGTATATGTCTCATTTACTTGACTGAATTATTAATGTCTGAGGTCAGAGATGGAATCTCTCTGAATCAACCATAATATTTAATACAGTTTTCACATACAGCATTATATAAAAAAAATTAATGAATAAAGTTTTAAAGTCAACACTTAATTCTAAGTCTAAACTTCTTTGCTTTTGTTAATTTTATAAATGTTGGACAAGTAAAACTAAATAGACTTTTCTGTTATGGTTTTTAGTTTTTTACTTATATTTAATTAGAAGATTAGAAAACTTGGTATACTTTTAATAACTTTGAATATCTTTAAAAAAATCAATCATTTTCACTTAGTATTCCAATCTGAATGATAAAAAAAAATACTCTGAATAAAAGTGAAATTTTTTTTCCTACATACTAGAACTTCTACTATGTATTGAGAACTTCTAATAGGCTATTTTATTTTATTGTTGGTAATGTATGGTTTTAATGAGAATAAACTGAATATTTATAGTCTTACAAATTTAAGAAAAAAATACAATCAAATTATTTATTTGTGTGATGTGTTAAGTACAGTTGGCATGTGTTCAGAATATTAAATAATGACATGAGGATATCTAAAAATATATTTAAATATTAAGTTTAAAATACTCTACTTAGACATAATTTTGTTTTCTAAAAAGAAATTGTATTTTTGTGGATCAGAATTGGTTCTTGCTTTCTGCTGGATTTAAAAATGTTTCTGCCCTTTCTTCTTTTCTGTTTTTCTTGTTTTAATAGTCTAAATGTACTTTAAATGTTCAGCTTCTTTTTTTGTTTGTTTAATTTCACTAAAGTTCTATGATAAATGTTTCTGCTGTAAAGTATTTAAAGCTATGTTCTGTATAATTTATTTTTTGCTTTGAAATATTTGAGTTTCAATATAAGGATAATTTTATCCCAAAATCAAAGAATAAGCTAACATAAATTTTTATATATTTTAGATGTTTATTTTTATTAGTCTTAGAGTGCTCTTGTTGTCTTTTTAAAATATACATTTTAATGTAACAAATATTATTTTAGCTCAGAAATGTCACACATTCTTAATGCTTTAAAATTCTCATGCATTATTTTTTTCTATATTATTTTTTCCAAATATTATAGATTATCATAATGATGTCTTCTTTTTTCTAAATAATATCTTAAATTATATTAAGTTTAAATTTGGCTTTCAAGACTTCCAAATGAAACCATAAAACTGTCTTTCAGAATAAAAGTCACATATTTGATGTAAATTACTGCATATGTCTGATTGACTCTCTTAAACAAAAAACGTTACATTTTAGAGTTAGTAGCATTTTAAATTAATAATACTTCTTAGAAGGAATGAGCCTCAGAATGAAGTGCAGATTATCCATATTGCCTACTCTCATTTAATCATTTCATTTTAAAAATCAGACTTCATCTTAACAATCCAAAAGAACCTCACTAATGTGCATTTTTGGATGTGCTAATTTCCTTTATCATCAAATGGAAGCCAGTCCAAATTTTCTAATAATTTTTCATCATATTAAAAATTCATGGCAAAAATAAAAATCAGCTAATTTTTAAATCAAGTGCATTTATTCTATGGTTGCTTTTTCCCTTTCTCCTTACCTAAGGAAATAGAGAAATTGAGAATAGAACTGAGTGAAAGCAAGCAGCACTTGGAACAGGAGCAGCAGAAGGAAGCCCAAGCCAGAGAGGAGTGCCTGAGACTAACAGAACTGCTGGGCGAATCTGAGCACCAACTGCACCTCACCAGGTACTCCCTAATCCCATTATGCACCATAGCACCAATTTCATTTCACTGATTTTTGCTACAGGCTTCTAAACAGTTGTTAAGTTAGTCATTCAATTCAGACACAGCTTTCAGGCATATTAAGAAAAGTGGGGATGTGGTAAGCAAAACACCCAGACATGTGAATGATAAGTGTGGCAGGGAATTACTGATATATCATGAAACCTTTCATCTCCAGTGCTCAAATATTTAGGTGATTATCAATACAAGCAAAATAACATGTTTCTCCTACTACCATCACTACCTCTCTTGTTAATTTTACATCTAATAAAATGTTAAACTGAAGGAACTAAGGAATATATTTAGAAAAATAATAAGATACTGTCAATGGTGAAAGAGACAAAGTAAAAGAAATTCTAAGATGCAAATGGAAATGGAACTGATACAAAATCTGAGTCCTTAGGAAGTGTAAAATGTAGAAGTGAAATCGACTGGCATGTTCATATTCAAAACATTATTTACACCACTGAGGTTTCAAATTACATTGTTTTCATCACGAGATACTGTGATACGATCATCATCTTAAACTTTAGCAAACATGTAGCCCAGACCTAAATCCCAGAAAGATGCTGTAGGTAAGTATTGTGAGTTTGCTGCATTGGAAAACACATAAACATGTACAAATATCCACATACACACGAGGAAAAATTCAAACAGAAATAGTGTTTCACTTTAGCACGTAAGTGGTTTTTCTCACTTTGAGTTTTATGGAAGATTTTTAAATTTTTAGATCAGCTTTTGGATCAGTTCTTAGAGTTTTTCATTTGTTAGAGAGAACTGTCTAAATGAATATATAAGTTTATGAAATTTGATATGGTTTATAAATCAAAAAAACAATGGTCTTCCAATCATTATAATATGTTGAATTTAAACTATGAAAGGGGACTGATCCCTTTTACATTAAATATGACAATGTAATTCTGAGCACGGTATGATAACAGATGGAGAAAAGCACCACTTGAACAGCCTGCATTTGGAGAAAAAAATATTCTAGAGGTTGGTGAACCTCCCAAAGTTTTCGGCTAGTGTTAAGATGCCTCTAGTTCTGTTAAAATCTAACTTTGTTAGAAACATTTTGTTATGATAATATTCCAAATGGTTTGACACCTTCTCTTTTAAACAATGAAGGAAAAGAGAGGCATGCAAGAACAAGAGAGAAAGAAAAGAAAGGAAATAAATTGTTTATTCATGTGTAATATCTGAAAAATAGTGCGGTATACAAAACACTGTTATGAGAAAAAAAAATTCCTTAATGCTGCAAAATAATAACTGTTCTTTTAATGCCCATTTAAAGTATTGTCATTGTAAAGCTGAAAAACATAATGTTAACATAGTTCCTGTGACTAGTTAATCTTAGAAGTTTCACAATTTAGCTTCATCACGATAATGTTAATAGTTTTTCTTGTCTGTCAGACTTCTATTGAGAGCCAACCGTTCTGTGCTAAGCACTCCTAAACCACAGAAGTAGGACAGCTTTTAATGTCTCAGTGTGGCTGAGCTTCAGTAAATAAATATTAATGCTGGGTCTGCCCCCTTTGCCATTCTGTCTCATTCAGAGAGTTAATTTTTGAAGTCAAAGTCCGTAGAGAGTTTTCCTGTGCACTATCAATTTGTACTGTTTGACAAGATCAATTTCTTGCAAGTAGAGCATATTAAGATGCAGCAACTGCTGAAAATGGACGAGTGGTAACTAATTCCTTTGTTCTTAAGAAAAACGGTTTTGCTTGGTTCTGCAGAAAGCTTTTTCTGTTGATCTTTATTTACACCAATTCTATAAAAATTTAAACCTAGTTTAACAGGAAATAAAACTTAATTATCTATTTTCTAAATACAGTACTCTTTTGTAAGCATTTTATACTTAGAATATGTTCATGTTTTATAAAATCCACATTTATAAATTTTAAGATAACAATTTAAAATTTAAGGAGCTGTGTATATCTCTCTTTAGCACAGAAAATGTGATATGGTTGGTTGGGCTGAATATTTCTGATATACTTTTTTGGATTTTTTTTTTTGAAGAGTTTGCTACCATTCATCATTCCTTATCAATTCAGCATAAAATCAGGTGTGTGATTGAGAAACATTGTGTCTTTCTTTTTCAGTGTAAACTAGCTGAAATATGTAACTCCCATGCAGATAGCACTTAACATTCAATCTCAAACATTTTGAATGATATAATTTAAACAATGTTTAAAACTGAACATGAAAAACAAATTATAAAGTAATGATTAAATAAGGATCTAAATCTTAACAGCAAAGAAAATTTAAAAACTGGAGTAGAAATCTATGGTCAGTCTGAAAGAAAAAATGATCATATTTTTTGATGTTTCCTTTTGCTGGATTTTAATTGGATTTCAAAATGGAATGTAGGAATTCAGTATATGTTGAAGTACCCAATAGTAAGTGTAATGTTCGCTTTGCAAGTATTTATTGATTGTCTACTATCTTTTAAGTACTTTGCATGGCACTAGCCATAGAAAGAAAAGAAAGACAGTTTCTACACTTTGGTTGCTCACATTCTACTAAAGGAACCAGAGTGATAAATGCAGTCGAAGTAGATTGTGACAGTAGTGCAGTGACACAAGTAGAGATTACCAAAGGAGACATAAGAAGGAGACTTGGCTCAACATGCATTGGAGGTGAAGGTGATAATCTGGGAAAGCTGACAGTGAAAGGTGATACTAGAAAATGATACTCAGGGCAGAGGAGATGTTTGGCACTAATCTTAATGAGTTCATAAATAAGAGTTTCCAAAGTGGAAAAAGGTAGAGTGGGTTACCCCTAATAGGAAGACCAATAATACAGGCAAAGACATAAAAGTGGAAGAGAACGTAAGCACTACAATCAGCTGAGGTATTTCATAGACGATAAGACTGCAAGGAGGAACAGGGATCAGAGGAAGGGCTTTGTGGGCTAGTCTGAGAGTAATAGGTTACTACTGGTGCATTCTAAACAGGACTGTCAACCTAGCTGGCTTACTTTTATTATTTGTTTTAACATATACTTACTTGTTTCTTCCATGAGGGGGAAAGATGGGAATGGAGGGAAGCTAGACAGCAGCCCCAGCAGTTACTTATGCCATGATCACCCCCACCCCCAGCCAACTGTAGATCATGAGCTCACACCTGCCAGCACACCCAGAGAGGTCTTAGGACTCAAACCGAGAACCTTCTCATGTATGTCCACCTTGCGGAGCATGTATTTTACCATTGCACCACCTTCAGGCCACCACGATTGACTTTCTGGGCTGTGACTTTTAAAATTTTTTTAGAAGTTTTTGCTATAGTGTGCACTCACCTGAGACAGGGAGATAGGGAGACAGGGAAACAGAGACAGTGAGAATTCACCCTAAAGGAGAAATGGCTGTGTAGCAATCCCTTATCCTCCATTCTTCTCCTGGGATCTTGGACATATATGCACATGCACCTGTCATAATTTTCAAGCAGCCAGGTACAGAACTTGTACTGTGGTTGGCCATGTGGGAGTCCAGCAATGTGACCACCATGCCATCTGCTGGCCCTTGGAATCTTTATTCAGGTTGCAGAGTGGAGTGAACTTGGAGACTTGATGTAGAAGACAGGCAGACCAGTTAGAGTAGAGCCTGCAACTGTAGCCCCCAGGCTAAACCTGACCCATTGCCTGTTTTTTGTTTTGTTTTGTTTTTGTTTTTGTTTTTTATTTTGATTTTAAAATATTTTATTACATAATCTTTTCATGGCACCATCAGGAGTAACAGAAAACGTTATTCCCAGTTCCTAAGCCACATCCTGAAAAATACACATTTGTATTTATATCAATACTCCACCCCTATCCCGTAATTCCACCACCTATTCTAGGTCCTTTGCTTAAAGCAGGAAACTATTCTCTTAGGTAAGAAAATATATGTGGAAGCTAAATGAAATAACAGTTAGAGTAACAGGGAATAGCTGGGTCATGGGCAGGAGGCAGGGGTTGAGTCCGGCCTAAGAAGGAGGCATCACTGGGTGTTTCGTTTTGTTTTAAGAGGTTTTTTTGCCTTAGGACTCGTGTTCTCCTAAGGAGAGAGACAGACAGACAGAGACAGTGAAAGAAAAAGTGAGAAATCACCCCTCAGGGGGAATGGCCATGCCACAATCCCTTCTCCATTCTCCTCAAGGATCTTGGGCATGCATGGACACATGCTGGGTGTAATTTTCAAGCTACTGGATCCAGGATTTGAACTGCGATCGGCCATGTTGGAGTTCAACAATCACTATACCATCTGCTGACCTTCATTGCCTGTTTTTATAAGACCTGTGAGCTAAGAATGGTTTCTGTATTTGCAAATAGTTGGGGGGGAAAAAAAAGGAAAATATTTTCTAACACATAGAGATTCTATATCCATAAATTAAGTTTTATTGGACACAGCCACAATTATCCTTTATGTATTATGTATGGCACTACTACAGCTGAGTTGAATATAGACTTGAAAGCCTAAAAATATCTACTATCTGGCCTATTCTAGAGAAAATTTACCATCCCCTCAGCTAGTAGACGATTTAGTTCAAATAAAAAGTCAAGAGAGCTTGAGCTATGACAGATTCTGATTCAAATGTGTATTTAAAGAAAGTAATTGCAAGATACTATGAAAATGAACTGGTCGAGGAAGAGATGACTGCCAGATACCCCAATCAGTATGAAAGTGCAGCAGTCCAAGGGCATAGAAGTGATGTCCTGCACTATGATTATCCCAGAAAAATAGAAAGGACTTCAGAGTAGTGAGTAAGAGAGGACAAGAAAAGGTGACTCTAAGATTTTTAGTATAAGTTGACTAGATGCCCATTAATCTACTTAACTAAGGAGGTAGCAGTGGAAAATAATATATTTTACTTTAACACTCAAGTGGAGATGTCCAATGTCGGTTCGATGTGAGGAGAAAGGTCATGACTAAAGGCTTAGTCCGAATACATTTACATACAGGTATTAGTGGTAGCCCAGGGAGTAAG